GCTTAGAGAGGCCTGAAAGGCCTATGAAGCGGTATATAAGTCTACTGCTATTGCTATATTGCTATTGCCTAACTTTCAACCCACTTTGGGGGGCCTGAATGTGGTTCCTTGACTCAGGCGTGGATCTGTCCCTGCTGTGCCAGCCATGGAAGCCTGCAAGACTGGATCAGGCCCAATTAGGTGCCCCTTCCTGTCTCACTGCATTCCATGAATGCAGCCATGCGTTTCCTCCAAACTGCATTACTCAGAAGAACCGGCTTCTAATCACGGGGGGGGGGTGGGAGAGAAAGAGGAGGAGGAGATGATGGAGGAGGAGGAGGAGGAGGGGGGGGGGGTGGGGGGGGGGGGGGGGGGCAGCGGAGGCACCGGCCTAATTGCCCTGCGGGGCCTGGGCTGCAACTGACTTCCTGGTGCCTCTTTCCAGCCACTTGGTAAAGGCATGGGGGGGGGGGCTTGCAAAGGTTCACTGCAAAATCCCCCCTCCCTCCCGATCAGCTGGGACTCGGGAGGCAGGGAATAGATGGGCCCAGTTGCCGGTTCTCCGAACCACTCAAAATTTCCGCTCCAGGTTCTCCAGAAGCGGCCAGGCCCGGCTGAGTCCCACCTCTGATGCTGTGGAAGCTCCTTGGCTCCCAGGGCTGCAGCTCAGTTGCCTCAGGGTGTTGAAGGGGGGGGGGGGCAGCCAGGCTCGAAAGGGAGGGTGTCCTTGTGAGGGGGGGTCCTCCGGCACATTCTGTATTCTCCGCCTACGGTAAGAACCAGAGGCTGCGTGTTTGCACTGTGAACCTTTTCTGCCTCCTGTGAACAAGGCTCTCTTGCTCACACTCACAATGTCCCCACAAAAGCATTTGTGACCCACACAATAGGTAGAAAACATATTTTTGTACAAAAGCGTTTATCGTCTGATTTTACAAAAGAGATCAGTCTGTTAGGAAAGGGACCAGGCAGTCACAACTAAGGCTTCAGCGTTGAGCCCCTCTTCTTCCTCCTCCTCCTCCTCGATGGATGGAAAAGGCGCTGCTCCTTCATGGGGCTGGTTTTCCAGCTACCCCCCCTAGGTCTGTAGGGCTGCCCTCGGCAGAGGACCAGGTGCTGTGGGAGGGGGCCTCTCCCTGGACACTGCCCAGACTGGCACCAAGGAAGCCGCCCACACCCTTCAGTGGCCCTAAAAGTAGGAAGGGCCCGGGGCCCGAGGGGGGCCAGTGCCTGTGAAGTGGGGGTGCATGAGAGGCACCTCGTATTCCAGGCTGAGGGATGCCGCAGTCTTGGGACTCTGGGTCACCAGATCCCCCTTCTCCCCCTCCAGCTCCAACGGACTGGGGCTGCGGGTCCCAGGCGCAGCCTGGGCCTTCCTCCGCTGCCTGCGCTGTCGTGCGTAGTAGGAGCTGGCGACCGCCACCCCCAGCAAGAGCAGCACAGCCGCCACGGAAGGCGCCACCACCAGGGGCAGGTCGGGGCCTTTCCCCCGGGTGACGGGGGCGTGCTGCTGGTGGGTCGGGTGCAGCGTGTGGGCCTCCACGCAGATCTCCTCCTGTGGGGCCTTGTCACCCAGGGCCCCGATGCAGATGTGATAGGAGGAGTTGGGCTTCAGGGCCCGCACGGTGTATTCGGGCAAGGCAGCTGGCAGGCTGAGGGTGATGGGCCGCTTGTCTGGCCCCGAGAGGTTCCAGTAGGTCAGGCGGATGCCCTTCAGCTGGGGCTTGGCGCGGATGTAGTTCTGCAGGTCCACTTTGACCGAAGTGCTCCCCACGTGCCTGACGGCTACCTGCGTGGCCTGGGTGGGCTCTGGCGGAGAGGTCGCCTGCCCCCCGGCCACCTCGCAGTACAGTCCGGTGAAGCCCAGGGGGCAGAGGCACTCCGGGTGGCGGTTGGGGCCTGGCTGGCATAGGCCGCCGTTATGGCAGGCGTGCGGTGGGCAGAGCCGGGCCTCCGGGCTTGGCTGTCCTTCTGGGGCGGGCGAGGCCATGGTCGTGAGGCCGCCACGCCTGGTGGTGGGCTGGGCGGTGCCGGCCTCTGGGCGGAGGGGCCTGCTGCTGGGAAGGGGGCTGGGGAGCTTGGGGCTGGTTGCTGGTACGGTGCTGGTGCTGCTGGTGGTGCTGGGGCAGCCAAAGTCTGCGTACTCCAGCTGCTGAAGCAAGCGGCCTGCGTTTTTGGGGGGGAAGTGGCAGCGGGTCTCTTCCGGCCTCCGGAGCGAGGCTTTGCTGAGCCGGGCCCAGCTGACCACCCAGCTCATCTGGCAGACGCAGTTGAAGGGGTTCTCGGCTGCGGTGACGGCCCGGAGCCTGGGGAAGGAGGCGAAGAAGTCCCAGGGGAGCCCGTTGAGGTTGAGGTTGCTGATGTCCAGTTCCTGCAGCTGCTGGAGCTGCCGAAAGTCCTCTGCCCGCAGCTGCGAGATCAGGCCGTTCCCTGCCAGGCTGAGCCTGGTTAGCCCGGGCAGCTGGCTCAGGACCCCGGGCACCCTGGCGAGCAGGTTGTCCGAGACGTCCAGTTCATGCAGGTTGCGCAGGCTCTGCAGGAGCTCCTCGTCCAGGCTGCCCAGGCCCAGCCCGGCCATCTTCAGGGACTCCAGGCTCCGGACGCGGAAGGTGCCCGTCTCCAGGGCTGCGATTTTGTTCCGGCTGATGTCCAGCAGCAGGAGGGTGGGCAGGTTGAGAGGGGGCACCGTCTGCAGCTGGTTGTCCTGGAGCTTCAGTTCCAGGAGGCTTTCCAGGGAGTTGAAGGCGGCCGGGTGGATGCTCTGGAGCCGGTTGCGGTCCAGGTAGAGCCGCTCCAGCAGGCGCAGCCCATGGAAGCTCTCGTTGGTGACCTCCTGCAGCTGGTTGGAGGACAGGTCGAGATTGTGGAGTCCCGGCAGTGGCTGGAAGACGTTGCGTGGCAGGCGAGAGAGGAGGTTCTGGGAGAGGTCCAGGAGCCGCAGAGAGGGCAGCCCGGCAAAGCTGTCCTTGCTCAGCGTCCGGAGGCCGCTCTCAAACATGTACAGGTGGGCCGTGTCTGGTGGCAGCCCCTGCGGGATGGCAGGGCTGCTCCGGGCGATGCAGAAGACGGTCTGGGGCTGGTTGCACTGGCAGTCGGCCGGGCAGCCCCGGGCAAGGCTCCCAGCTTGGAAGAGCAGCACTGCCCAGATCAGGGGGAGCCTCATGGTGGGGCTTCTGCAGAGAAAAAGCAGAGCGGCAGGGGGTCACTTCTGACCTTCAGGGTATTGCCAAAGCCACCCCCGCCCAAGCTCTTCTCCTAATGCCAGTCCTCCTGGGCATTGGCCTGAGCCCAGGACTCTTCTGGGGGGCAATCCTGGCTTTTACCCTATACCCCCCCCATCCTCATACCCCCCCCCCCGGTGGTTCAGTCTATGCACCTTCTCAGCAGGGATGGAAGAAGCGGGCTTCCTTCCCAGGAGAGAAGACTCTCCCTTTGGTCCTGCCTGCCATCTCCAGAGATCAAGCGGGGAGGGACCAGAGGGCCAAGAGGAGGGAGCGGGGTGGCATTTGCAGAAGAGACCCTGGCTTATGCAGAGGACATGCAGCTGCCGGGCAGACTTTCCTTTTGGGGCGAAGAAACTTTCTCTCCCCCCCCCCAATTCGCTGGCAACTGGCATGCACCACCACGTGGGGGCCCCCGGCCTAACCTGGCTGCCGTTGCACAGACCCCTCCAAGGCTAGCGGTGGGGGGGGATGTGACTTTGATTTGAGGGAAAGTCGGCAAAGGGGGACCCTCCTAGGCAGACACCAAGACTGTGGCTCTGCCCGTCCCTCTCCAAGCGCTGGGATGGGCAGCCTGGCTTGGAGAAGGAAAGGCGGATGCCAGCCGGCTCAGGTGTGCCCCAACCCCTGCCTGCCCCTTCAGCCAGCAGGCCATCACAGGCGGCTCGTCTGTCGCCTGGTTTAATAAGTGAGATGATTAACTTTGGCTGTGGGGCTCTTTAAAAGGCGGCTTCTCACCAGGTGATCCACTCTGGAATGTGCAGCTGGAGGAGGAGGGCCCCAAGTTGGCTTGCAAAGGGAGGGAGGGGGGGAGAGGCCTCCCCCCTCTCTGCCCTTTGAAAGACTGAGCCCCCCCCGCCCCTGGGCCGCTCTCTGCCTTGCCCTCATCTGACGCAGGGGGTCCGGGCCAGGGCTGTGAGCAGAGCCCCTGGAGACCCCTGAGGTTTGCAGCGGGGCTGACCCCTTCTCGAGGATGGCATTGATTCGCATGTGGTCAGTCCAGCCCTGGTCTTCTCCATTGCCCTGGAAGCAGCCACGGGGCTCCCCTTAGGCTGAGGGGCCAGGAGGAAGGGCCAGGGGGGCTGCAGGGAAGCTGCTGGGGGACCTTGGCCTATGGCCCCCCACCCACCATGAGCCCCATCCCTTCATCCAGCTGGCTGGGGAGGGGATGTCACCAACCTTCCCCATTTGGGGCCTGCGGAGGAGGGGGGCCAGAGCAGCTCCCCTCCCTCCCTGCCTGCCACCTCCAGGTCTGGGCAGCTGATAAGAGCCTGCTGCCCGCCATGGCATATTGGGAGACGTGGCTCACCGCCCAGCAGGCTCCCTTCACGCCCCGCAAGGCTTGGGAGCGCCTGCCTGGCCCGAAAGCCATCTGGTCCCAAGATGCTGCTGGGAAGGCTCCCCGCAAGCCCAGGCTAAGAAAAGCGCCAAGCGTGGGGCAGCTGGCAAGGGATCAGAGGCTCCTTGACCCACAGCAGCCTCCCTGGAGCCAGCCCGGGGGGGGGGGGGAGAAGCCACAGGACACGCCTCCTGCAGGCTGGTGGGGGCTGCAAACACCTGGAGCCCCTGCACCTCCCAAAGCAGCTAGAGGGCACCGAGCCCCCCCCCCTTTCTGGTCTTTCCTCCCCACATCCTTTTTCCTATGAAACCTGGGGGGGGAGGGGGGCTTATGGGGCGCAGCAGGCCAGAGGCCCTGGCTACTTGCTGGGTCCAGGTGGTTTGCTCCCCAGTGAAGAGTAGGTGGCCTCGGCTGGGCTAAAGTGCTCTGGGGGGGGTAATGGATAATGCGGGACCCTCAAATGGGGAGCAGCGGGAGGGAGGGAGGGAGGAGGGCACTGCCGGGCGGCTTGAGCAGCATTGGCTGAGAACTGAGAGGCTCAGGTGTCCCCAAGACTGGGCTCCCCTTGCGCCTCCTTCCTGGCCAGGGGGGCCCGACCCCTCCCTTGGATAAGCCTGCTCCTGCGCACGGCCTCTGCTTCCTCCCCCTCCCCCAGCCAAGCTGGCTACAGAGGCCCCTGGGCTGCTCCTCAGCTCTGGGGCCCACAAGCATCCCTTCCTCCCTTCGGAGCTGTGGGGGAGCCCAGGAAATGAGCCCCCCCCCCCAGCGTGGCCCTGCAGAGGAGGGGCAGCCGGGTCTTCTGAGGACCCTGTGGGGAGAGGACGCGCGAGCCGCCTGCGCTTGGGCAGGGCCCGGGGCCTCTGGGCGGCAGGCTGTCATTAGCCTGGCACAGGCGTAACCCCTCATTAGCCCAGGGAGGAGCTGCCTAACCGGCATTCCCGTGGCCAGCAGGAGGAGGAGGAGGAGGGGGCGGTGGCTGCAAGGAGTCGGGCAGGTTGGGTGGCAGCATTGGGCCAGAGGGAGCGCCCCCCCCCCCTGGCTTGGACTCTGGGGTCAGCTCCAGGGCAGCACTCCTTGCAGGTGGGGGGAGGGGAGCCCCCCCCAGTGGTGAGAGTTTCTCCGGATGGGGGGGGTGCACAGGAAGCCTGTTTGAAAGGGGGGGGGGCTGTGCACAGCTCTGCCCAGCTTGGGGTGTCCTGCGTGCCTGGGACTGAGGCGCCTTCGCACAAGGTTGCATTGTCAAGGCTGGAGCCAGACCAGGAAGGGATCTGAGGGGATCTGAGGGGAGGGCCCCGACATGTCCCATGCCCCCCGAGATGGCAGGAAAATGCAAACTTTACGCCACATTGCAAGAGAGTTGCCCGGGCAGGGGTACCCAGGGCTGAGGAACTCCCCCCCCCTCACTTGGGGGTGAAAGAGGAGTCAGGTGCCCTGTAGAAGCACTTTGCCCCCTTCCCTGCAAACGTTTATTTCTCGCTTTCCCCTCCATTCTGCCCCCCCCTCCAGGACTTGGCAGCCTCTCACCTTCCCAGCCACAGCATTCCTGCCCGGCTCCTGCCGCCCACCTCTCCAGCTGCCCCCCCCCCTAGGTGCAGGGGAGGGGGCGAGCCAGCAGGGAGCGCTCAGCTGCAGCGGGTGGGAGGCCTTCTGCCCACCACTCCCCCAAGACCCTCCCCTGGGCTCCCAAAGAGAACTCCTTTGCCCTGAGCATAGGGGCAGAGGCTGGCTGGCGAGGGCTGTTTGTCTGGTTGGGAGCTGGCCAAGGGAGAGACGCCCTGATGCCCCTGAGCCCAGTCTCCGTGTTGGCCAGAGGCTGCCCCAGGAGGCGTGCTGGTGCCCAAGCCCTGCGTGTGGGTGTTCCCAGCTGGGCGTCCTCTGGGCCAATTCGACTGCTTAGTCATGAGAAATCACAGTATTGTGCACCCGTCTTGAACCCACAACTGTGTGGAGTCTTGGAACCTCCAGGTTCCTCCAGAAAAGCCATCCAGCTATTGGCCAAGCAAGGAGGCAGATTCCCCGCTTCAAATTGCGTCGTCTCAGAGCATCGGCCGCTTTGACTCCTCACCCCCCACCCCCCATGGAAGCAGGAAACTGGCCTCCCCTCCTGTCTGGCAGGCAGGACCTGTGCTCTTTCCCTAGGAAGGAGCAGCTCCCCCCCAGCCTAGGAGGGGCGGCCACTCAAACAGCAAGGAGGCCTTTGCTCAGCAGAAGCTGCTTCTGGGAACCCCCCCTCCCTCCCTCCCTCCCTCCCTCCCTGGCCCAAAGCCTGCAAGCCCCCTCCTCTACCTGAGCAGCAGCACTGGAGGTCCAACAGCCCCCCCCCCCCCCCCCCCCCCCCCCCCCCCCCCCCCCCCCC